CAGCGGCGGCAGCCCTTAAATAAGAGGACCCAAATATAGTCACCATTATCCCTGATACTTACTATTTCTGGATGGGGGGTCCACCTGAGGGATAATTACAGCTCATCCTAGTTCTGGAGATTTGGCATTGTGAAATGCTGCAAACGAATCACGCGACCTCTCGCATAGGCAAGTTGCTGTCACCAGAGCGGCGGACCACCCGGAACAAGATCCGGAAGACGTCTCCTGCCACAACTTCCATTACTAACAGGCCTTCCGTTGCATCCTGTGCTTCAGTGGTGAGAACCAGCGACAGGTCTTCTTACTGCAGTTGATGAGGTACTCACACACATCGATGCCTGTCAACGGCCTAACAGAACCAAAGGTGTGCAAGATCTTTACAAGATCATGCGAGCCAAATGAGCCGAGCATCCTGTGCCACGGTAGAGACTGAAGAGGGGCTGAGCGACCAGTCCAAGGCTGTCAGCAGCAGAGACCATTCCTGGGTTCAGCTCAGACTGTAGGCAACCTAGATGAAGACTTTAGGATCCCTGTAACAAGTCACTGCAATCCAAAGCTCGCCAGATGAGCGCGCGTGCCATGTGGTCGTGGAGAGTTTCAGTTGGCGGGCATCTCGTCAGCCGCATGCCCAAACTCTGGAAAGCCCGGGAAGGCTTCCAAGTGGTCAGGCCGGTGGCCGTCAGATACAGCAGGCCACCTGCCAAAGAAACAACGACTTCTACCACCAAACGTCGCAGCCTTGCAGAACTACATTATACCTGCGAGACACTGCAACCCTACAACCAGACCCGCGGTCGCTCTGACATGCCTGCAAATTCCTGCAAATTCACTGCGGAACATCAACTCCGTGTTTCCACCTGGGCGCACCAGCTCCAACGAAGCACCAATGTGCGACCAGCAGCCAAAAACGTCCACATCAACATAATCAAACTGTCGATTCACTGCTAGACAATATCCTCAGCTGATCGCGGTGCAGTTACAGGGTTGACCCAAGACAGAAGACTGCAAAAACATCGGCACATTGTTATGCAGCCTGAGAGCCCACATAGGAACATAGGCGAAACAAACTGGGGGCATCGCATTACTGCAGAAAAAACATGTCGAAAGCGTAGTACGAACTACAGACAAGAGGCCAAGAAGGGATTTGGATTCCCAGTGAGTCACCCGCCAGCCCTGCGCTGCAGAACCAGAATCTTTGTCTGGACTCCTGAGCTGTAGTCGTCATCAAAAGTAAGGACAATAATAAATATGACAACCGGAAGAGTAGCAACAATCATAGCAATAATTCCCCTTAGCCTCAGGCATCCGGAACAAGCTGGCCAGAATCCAGCCTTCTCCCGCTGTCCCTACCCTCTGGACTGTGAGAGCCATCCCATTCCTCCCCCCTGCTTTGCGACGTCTATGACGTCTGGGCGTCCTTCTGACGAGGCGGACGTGCACTGCGGACGTGCGCTAGCGCTTACAATCACAGCAGCACTCATAGTCATACCAATCCACGAAATACTAATGATGGGGGTAGTATAGCAGTAGTAGTAGTGGTAGTAGTAGTTGTAGTTGTAGTTGTTGTTGTTGTTGTAGTAGTAGGAGGAGTAGGAGTAGGAGTAGGAGTGGGAGTAGGAGGAGGAGCAGTAGCAGCAGGATGCAGCAGGTGCGATAAATTCTCCCGAGCTCACTGGCAGGCAACGCGTTCTCAGCCCAGTCGCAAACAGCGTCTCCAGCCTGGATGTTGGCCTGCTTCTCGGCCATGGAGCGGCAACGCTTCCTGGCCAAAGGGCACCATGTACTATTTGGCACATAGTTGATCAAGATTCCTGTACCCAAAATTGCCATGATGAAAAACAAATTTACCCTTGATTCTTCTTTACTAACCTACAGGATCCCAAAATGATTTGCCACAAGACCTTCAGACCAACCCCCAGTTGTGAAAAAAGTTGTAAACGCTTGGCAAACCCTCTGCCTGCAGCCGCCAGCTGTGAGGAGCTGCCCATTCGGGCAGTAGATCTGAGCAGTTACGCTCCTTGCATGCAGCGACAATTCTCAGAGGAGCTCGCCTAACATCCCAGCGGATCATCCCCTACTTCTCTGTCCTTCGCTGTCTGCCCTGCTGTAGCTGCAGCCTGCAGGGCTGCAATGGACCCAAAAAAAGGGCCCGGAAGATTCATGCAGAGCTGCAACAACAAACCTTATCCCAAGCCTGCCTGCTGCAAGTTGGTTAGAAGGGTCTCGAACAAGTCCTGGCATCAAATTGAACACGAGGGCGCGCTTCTTTTGATTACTGGTCATGCTTCGCTTCTTAGCTCGTGGGTCCCAGCAAAGTTTTGCAATTAAGTCATTGCGCTAGTTCTGAGTTTTGATCATTGCCTGCCTGCAATTATGAACCCCCCACATCCCTCATGAAGATCCCTGTCGTATTTGCACGTTTTTGTAACCTGATGTAACACTGACAGGCCTTGGTAAGAGATGTGCTGCGGATTCTGTCAAGAGCAGTGCTTTCGTAGCAGCATGTGGAGGTAGTGTTTCGTATCACCACGCATCCTATCTGACTGGTCCTGATTAGCTTCGTTGGCCCATACGAAATCAGCTCCACCTTCGCCCCAAGCATGGTGATTCAAAACAAAAGACAAGAGAACTCAGCATGACAAGCTGTGGCGAGCACTCTCCAACAAATAGCGCGCTGCACGCATTCCGGAGCCAGCGAAGAGCTCCTCCACAAGTCTCTTACATCTGCCCTGTTCGTACAGTGGGGTAAATTGAGTCCTAGCATACAAAACTCTAACCAGCTGTCATGCAATTGCTATTTTCATGCCGCGGTCCAGCACGGAAGTGTATCCTCGTTCTCGCTTCAAACGGGCTGCCTTATTGAAAGATGTGTGTGAAAACATGGAGATTCGTCATGTTTGCAGCAACACAGGGTTTTGCTTGAGTGCAAATGGTCTAGCAAGAGCTCCCCCTCTTGACTGAAAGCAGTATCAACATGGTTTGTCTTGAAGACTTTATGAGCCTTACACATGCCAGCGGGCTTCTGACTGGTGACTAGTGGTCAAGATGTAGACAGGCTGCAGTGCCAAACCTTCCCCCTTCTAGATGCCTGTCTTCGTGTTGATACCACGCCAAGATGCTGCGAGGATGCCAAGATCCCGCGTTGCCTGCCCGTCCGCTCGCAAAAAAGAGGGCGGGTGGACTCGAGCCGCAGCTTTGCAAGGTCCCATACGTCGGCGACGACGGTGTTGGCAGAAAGCAATGAAGAAAACGATGCCTGCCAACTTCAAACGAAGCCTCACTGCTATATGAAGCATACTTGTCTTCTTCTTTTACTTATTCTTCTCCTGCAGACTTCACATGCACGACGCGGAGGAGCGTTGGGACGATGCCCCAAGCCCCGCGATGTACACGTGTGCTAGTCTCATCCAGCAAGGACTGAAATGCTGTCAAAAGATCTCAAAAGCATGCGTGCTCAGTGAGGCATGCGCTTTCTTTCTGTGTATTTTCCGAAGATGTCTTGTTAGGGGAGGCCCCTGTTCAAAGGTATGGATCTCGCCCAGCTCTTGTGTCAGTCCCTGATTCAGAACTTTCAAGCTGGAACCGGATTCGCATTGTGCAGACTACGACTTCAGCCATGGTCTTCCCTGTCAGAAGGTGAAGCACTGCTGTCATCAAGTCCTTCATCATCTAGCATCACCATGCATCAGCCTACGTAGCTGAACAGCAGCCTGGCTACAAGAACCAGAAGACATGGCAGTTGTGGCCGAACCAGCAGTGGAAGCAAGCGAGCACTCAAAGCACAGCAAGGTGACCAAGAATGCCGACTTCACTGTATGATGGTGGCTTAACAGGCAACTGGCCACCGAACAAAAAAATGGCTGAATCTGTTATTCTCAGCATGTGGGGCCTGCACAGGCCGCTATGGTGACCAGCACTGGCCAGCGCGGCAGCGTGGCTGTTAGCCATGCTATCGGTTTCTCTATGAAAGCCATTTGCTCAGGCTGCGCCGCCTGGGAACGTCGAAACATGGCGGGTCATGCAGCGGCCAAATGGAGAAGGTATGCTGCGCGAATTGCTTTGAGTGAATGCACTTGTTCTGGTCAGACCTTGAGTTCACCATACTTGCCGCAAATCCTGTACTGCACTGGTATACGCTGAAGATGCCTAAAGCATGTGGTCTGCTCTGGAAACGCCGATGAATGGAGGGTTAGACCTGCAGTTGTACCACACATGTGCCCAACGTATGTTTCCTCGAGCTCGGAGTTTGGCAGTCGGGCACGCTTCGCTGTCTTCCGACAAGACTGTTTACCAACTTGTCTCATCATGCGCCCAAGCCATAGGCTTTCCATCGCAACGACAAGAGGAGTGCTCTGAACTGTCCTGGTCTGCAAACGTACTCTGGCCTGACCGACCGCGGCTGCAACACCAATGCATCCTTGGTAGGGCGCAGGGCAGCCGTCCCAAAGTGTAAGCACTTCTGCGGCTGAGCCACACTCTTTGAGGCAATGCCATCGACATGGCATGACCCGGAAGACCGGCATGGCAAAGGTTACCGTGCAACTGGAGTCGCCTTCTGGACATGAAGCCTGTGAAATGTGCGAAAAAGACTGAGAATCAGGAGTTGTGCTCAAGCTTACCTGTCTGCAGCATGTGCGCATGGAAGAGCAGCAAAAAAAAAGAAATTACATCTTATCTACTGACATGTGACATTGGCAAGGCTATGAGACCACTCTGAGCTTTCAAGGACTGAAAAGCTTTTGCCTCGAACTGTTGTGGGTTCCATCTGTGGCCTCTAGCAAGAAGGGAGGTCAATGTAAAGGCTGCGCCTAAAGGGACTGAAGCACCTTCGACCCCCATGACCGGCCAAGCTTGGCTTTTTCCCTCGAAATGTCATATTCTCTCAGACTTCTGTTGTTTGTTCACCGCTGCAGGCGGTGGCAATTGTGGAACCCTTGCGGAAAGCAGGGATAGGTGCCAGCTTTGATCGCGCGAAGGCCTTGAGACCTGTAACAGAATCTAATCATCACAACGCTCGACCAGCCTCGCACCGGCCACACCACTCATAATTGCAGCCAAAGGAAAGGAAGGTCTATACACCTCTAGGCTGGGAAAAACACCTGTTTCGACAAGTGCCATGTCGGCCTTTGAGACTTCTGTATGACGAAATGAAAGCGCTGGCAGGCTTGCCTTTCGAGGATCTTGCAGTACAGTCATGTACAGTACCATCTTGAATGCGTGCCGGCACGCGCCGGATGCAGATCCGCGTGACGCAAGGGTCTGCACAGCAGCACGATGCTGCAAAACGTGTAAAGAGTACATGGCTGCAACATGCAGGAAAAACCGACAGAGTTTCGGTCCTCAGCGGTGCTGCATGCTGCAGTACAATGGAGGAAGGCCAGACACTGCAGAGGCACCTTCACTGCCATCTGCCTTACGATGCCTCAAAAAAACCTACGTGAAGTTACTGCGTGAACTGTGCCACCCAAGCGGTCAGTAGCTTGGATGATCGCTGCGTGGACTTCACTACACCATGCCAGAGCAACTGGGCTTCATCTATGTTTTGCAAGCCAACGAGCCGGAAAAGCATCTCATCCGATTTGACAAGCTTGCAGGTCCCGAGGAGCAAGACATGCAGCCCCAATCAATTGATGGGTACTCGTACTGAATGCCACGATCTCAAGGAGCAAGCGTGGACCTGCGGTTAAATTATCCTCCTGAGGGCTTCATCAACAGATACAGGTTGCAGCCGCCTGGAAAGGTCATCTTCGTGGATGCTACCATCACGCTGCAGCATGCACCTGATCATGCAGCAAGCGAATCGCCCAAGCATCCTGCTTGGAATGCTAGGTGAAACCAATGTCTGGTCGTCTGGTCGCCCCACAGAACAGGAAGATCAAAACTCGGTACTTTCAAGGTCAAACTTCTCAAGAAACCTGGCATGTCTTGGACCAGCCTTGCTGAATGAGCGTACCGTACGGAAACTGAGCGCTCAACGTCACTGCGGATTCTGTTGCTGCATCGGCCGCCTGCTTTACCCGGAATACATTATGTCTCCAGTTGGCTGGAGCAGCAAGGCAGATTGGGAAGGCTCCAGAGTCACAACACATCTGCCTCAGCAACAGCAGCTAGGCCGCGGTCAGCCCAAAAGAAAAATCAAAGAAACCACTTGGAAACGGATTGCCTTCGGCTTCGCCAACTGCACGGCCCGTGGAACGGCTTGGGCCTGGCCGGGCAGTGTGCACTCTTCAGTGATTCGGGCGCAGCCTGAGGCCGTTTGTCAGGAGAACTGGGAGACTCTCTGCCAAGAAAGCAGGTCACAGTGCGGGACAGCAACAGCCTGCCTTGCACTCAGACTTCCCGTCAGACAGCGCATTCCTTGTAGCACCCCCACAAACAAAATTTGCTTAAATGACTTCGTTCTGTGCATCCAGGCTGCTCTGCTGCCTCCAATTCCTCAGTGCAGATGCACTTGGATGCAACATCCCCGGTATCATCCATTTTCCTAATATAACCCCGGTATATTATAGTAGTTTCCATTTTCTTTTCCATTATCCCAATATAGCCCCAAGATACTGTAGCAGTTTCCATTTTTCTTGTCCATTATCCCTACACCCTAAACCCCAAAGCCTAAACCCTATAGTATCTTGGGAAAAAAAAACACACATGGCCGCAGATGTGAACAGGTGGCCTTCTTTGCCAACAACCGCAGGATCACTGGCGAAGTCCTTCAATGCTGCTACTGTGGTCACTTGTTCTCCCAAGAAAGGTTTAGGGCGTAGGATTGTAGGATTTAGGATACTGACCATGACAGTCAACACGCATAGCCGAGTGCTACCTTTCAGTTGGTCTTTGCTGCCAGATGGCAGAGCTATCTTTTAGCCTTACCTGCATCTCAGCCTGCTTGGGGCCAGGCGGCCAGAACCCTAATTTGTTGTAAGTTATTCATGTCACTCTAAAAAACATAGGCCGTGAGTTGGATTCATCGGGGAAGCAATGGCCCTCCATGCAACCTTTGAAGTCTAAGGCTGTTAATTTTGGGCTGAGGGCTTAGCGTTTATGTGCGCCACATCAGAACCGAAGACTGCCGTCTGTGCAGACGGTGTCAAGGTTCTCAATCCAGCCCGCGACTGTGATTGTGTTGCGTCCGGTACAGTAACAACCTGTGATAAGTGATAAGGGTAGTATCAGCATCTTTAAAAATCAGTGATCTCTGCTTAGTTTCTGCGTTTGGTGAGGGTGCAAACATTGCTTGGAAAAGATGCGACACATTCCGATCTGGCGCTGAACCCTGAGTTTTTGATGGGTTCCCTACTATCCACCTCTATACTATCCCCCTGGCTCCCGCCCTCAATTAAAGCTGCTTAGGATGATAGCCTAAGTCAGGCTAATAAGGGGGAACCTAGGGGGGTAGTATAGAGGGCGGTAGTAGAGGAACCCGTGAATTGTGGGCGCAGGTCGGCAGACTCAAGCGATGCTCAGCAGGAGTCCCACTTAGATGACGCTCGCGCTGTGACAAGCTGCCTCGTGGTATGTTGACGGATTCTGCCTCAAATTGAACAATGAGAACAGCCACCAGAAGGAGGAGAGCAATCCGTGTTCTTGTCTGATGCTCAAGGTGATTCACCTAGCAGATAACACCTGCAGGCGGCCGCCAAGCTGACAGCAGAGGTGCAAATTCGAGACGGGATCTTGTGAGTAGACGATCAAGCGCTGACAGCTTTTCAGTTAGAGGCACCTGTCTGCCACCCAACACTGCTTCACACACCCAGACAGGGGAGGGTCCTATTCACATCAACTTGGCCATCAACGACGAAGAGTCCAAGAGTGTAGCCCCGCTGTGGGGGCTCTGTAGTGGTGCTACCTCAGTACACACCAGAGAAATTCAGAAACACCGGTCCCACACTCGGGAGGAAAAATAATAGTACTGGCAACAAAAATAATACGCATAATAATGATGATGACAGCTTCGAGCTGTCCCGGGTCTCCACAACAGGCCCTCGTTGACACAAGACAGGGCACCATCCCTCTCTCTGCACGGTTCTAAGGCCCTCGCCATCTGAGCCATCCGACCAACCCTTCTTGATTGGGCGTCCTTCCCTGTCATGACAGCTAGACACCGTGATCACAATGAACGCCTTTCCCTTTGGCTTTGTCTGCTTTTTGAAGAAGCATCTGCTACTCATTGAACGAACTTTGCAACAGCCACCGGCGGCTAAGTCCACCTACCATTTACACCCAGTAGATTGCTGACAGCTCAGCCTTCAAAGATGGCATGGATAGATGTGAATAAACTTCAGGACGCCTTCCATCTGCGATGTTGCTGAAACCTTCCATGTAGTCGTTCCATGGTTCCTTCCTGCAGGGACGCGGAGTGCAAGCTGCCATGCCAGCCTGCAAACTTGCTAGCCAACATGTTCTGTGCACCATGTGCACCGAACACCTGCGTGCCGAGTTCAGCAAGCTGTGCTTCAGTCTTTGTTGCCTGCACAAGGCTCCACATACCATATCTCCCTAGACGGTAAAGTGAGCAAAGCTTACAATCCTTGCCACTCTTTGACACGCACTGCAGTCCTACTGTAGCTGCTTATACTTCTCTGAAGAATTTCGGATTTTTCAGCTTCGACGGCCATGGGCGGAAACCGAGGTGAAATTGTCTTGATGTGTAGACCACGTAGCCCATCGCCTGTGCGACTGCTTCGTGTCGGCCACGCGACTTGCGCCGCAGCCCATTGTCCTTGAACTTTTTGCAAGGTAATTAAGCGACAACGCAGATGCAGACCCAGCCAGGAATATGTCACATTCTGACCTGATCTACGGACACACTCCTGGCCCGGCCTTTCAGCCAAAAAGATTGGCTTCTGTTTGTGGCCTGGATTCCTCCGAACTCTTCAACACACTATATCTCACGCAGAATTCCGAGTAGTGAAAGCAATGGACGCATGATGCGAATGCAGGAACTGTTTCCATTGCTTCTGAGCTATCACTGTTGAAGAGACGGTACAGTAAACAACAGACGCAAAGCAGGGTCATGCGGTCATGTGCTTGGACCAGGAAAATTGGATAGGCTCATGAAACCACAAGGTTCAAGTGCGCGGCTGTAGCCTTGTGCTGGAAGGACGCACTTGCTACAACAAGCTTGAGCCCAGTGATAGTATCAGCGGTCATTCACAACAGCAGCCTCTCGCATATCTGCGTATCTACACGACATGTGCATGTGTGTGCTATACATGTGTATACATATATATACATGTATATATATATATACATGTGTAGGTGTAGGCATGGGTATGTGTCTGCAGATGCATCGGAATATGAACCGGCTACAGTACCTAACTACCTGTCTACCTACCCGCACACCTACCCACAGCTCGGTCTTCGACTGAGGTGTTTGTCAAACTTTTGCCTGGATGGTGCCAAAGACACTTAATCTTGCAAGGCCAACGTCTGCTGGTTGGCGTCTGTGACGCACGGCCAAGTGCCACAAGCTTGGCACTGCCCTGAAGGCGAACACACAGGCCTTCCATGAAGCATACTGTACTCAGGTCTGAGATGACACCTGTGGTATCTGCCAGCTTTGTGCAACTCTTCGACTGAATTCTGATCGAAAAATAGCATGAATGGCAGGCAGCAGCGGGGCTCCAAGACAGCACAATCCCCCAAAGCAGCATGGCAGGAGTTGCATGATTCCTCTATGTTGTAATAGCCTTCATGTTGCTAGCTTGTATGGCGATTTCCATAACAATCCATGCTGGAAGGTGACATCTTTTATGTACGCAATACCAACACCTCCTCTGACTGACTTGAAGCCTGGGACCTGAAACCTTGCCATCTGTCGCGCAGCTATCGGGGCACCACTTCCAAGCACAATCTGAAAGCAAAGCTTTAGTTGAAGTAAAACTATAAGACTGCGAGGAAGGCTGCTGGTTCAACGATCGTAGGCCCCTTTGGGACCGTCATCAAAATTGAAAAGATGACTGGTACTGTTAAAAGCCATATCCTGCGACAAAGCAGATGAAAGGCATTTCCAAAATGAAGCCTCAATAAGTTTAGTACGGACCAGAAAGATTGTGGATAAATACCTTGCCCTTCTGCCTCGCAATGACAAGGGCAATGCACCAGCTTGCCATCAAAGGCTGCTTTTGCTGGCAATGCTAAGTCCTCACCCAAATACATCCTGCTTTGCAGGATCTAGCCAATGTTGCTGGTGCCTGCTTAGCAGGCAGAGCAGAACCTACCAGCTACCCCTTGGAGCATTCCTGTAACTGATTGCTTGAAGTTTACAACAAATCATGTTGGGCATTGCACACTTGGCCATTCCGCTCCAAGTTAATCATCATTAACTCCGAGTTTTTCACAGATCTTGGTGAGCATCTTTACACCCAGCGAAGTTTTCAACCTGGCACACCATCTACAATTTCTCCGGTGAGACGCGGGAGGCCAAACAAGAAGAGCGAAGAAGAAGAAGAAGGCAGCCACTAGAGAGAGAGAGAGAGAGAGAGAGAGAGAGAGCAAGGGTGGAGAGACAGAGAGAGAGAGCGAGAGCGAGATAGAGTAGAGAGAGAGAGAGAGAGATGCAAGTTATGCCTGCCTGATGGCAATGATGTCTGTCTTTGAGGCCGGACCGCGGCACTTCAGCAGGCCATCAATCATCTCCTTGTTGAGCAGTCAAGGCTCAGAAGACCAATTCCAAAAAAGGGACAGACCCAACTTGCAACAAGGCTGTGGTTGTGACTTTCTTGCGAACCAAATTTGCGCGGACCTCGAACTCCAGCTCACCACTCAGGTCGGCATCAAGGACGTCAAACAAGTCGAACTTGCAAGATAAATCAATCTCGGAGTCCTCGAGCCTCACAGTGCTAGCTATCCAACAAAAGCAGACACGCTCTTTGCGGAATTCAGGACACATGACATGTCAGCGCTCCAGCCGCGCGCCTTCCAATCAACTCCTTTTCGGTTGTTAGCCAGTGGTTGAACTGCTCCTTTGTAACAACCTTGCTCGAACGACGCGTATGGACACGTGAAAGCCAGGAGGTTAGGTAGCCAACCTCTAGAAAGGACAAATGCAAGCCTTGCTGGCAACGCAATCATATGCAACTTGGCCGAAATCACCGTTCCCAAAATGGGAAAATCTATTCATAGGGACTAGGGACCCGTAACCCATATGTAAATATTGGGACGTGTTTTCTAACGAATCTGAGGAAATCCCGACTTGCAATCATGCGGCAACATCTCGTTGCGCCATCTCCTCGCGGATGTGTTGTGTAAACTCCTCATACTCCTGTGTCGTATGCGGCTTGTAACCTGCAAGTCGAATTCCAGAGGACACTTGCCAGGGTTATCTTTTCTTCTGCCAAGGCACCGTACATCTCCTGAAGAGCCTGCAGCCTTTCACGCAGCAATTTCGACACCCGGCGCTGACCACCAGGCACCTGCCATGCAGCAAGAGCATGCCAGGAACATTCCGTTCCTGTTACAAACAGCAGGCACGAGTTCAATCTCCGGGGCAGAGCACAAGGCAAGAGAAGAGACGAAGCCAAAGCAACCAATGCGAAAACAGCTAGAGATTATGGAGGGAGAGGAAGGAGCAAAAGTAAGACCGAGAAGCTTATTGTCCCACATGGTTCCTCCATAAAGTCATTCCCAAAACCCACTCAACCAAGATGCTCCATTGCGCTCTTCTTCGGCCACCTGATCCTCAACCTGCGCAACAGAACGCATGCAAAAATTGCAAACAAGGCTATGGGCATCAGCTGTGCAACACAGCAAGCGGCAAGCCATGGAATTTGCATCGCACCTGCTGGCGGACTATGTTGGTGAGGATGATCTCCCTCAGGGCAGAGGCAATGACCTCAGATTCTAAGGAGAGGCTTTGATGTAAGTGCTCTCATAATCCCAATGCCAATAATTACCACTCGAAGAGTGCTGACCTTACGCCCTGGTACACGCATTCTTCACGCCAACACAATGGAAGACACAAAAAAGCACAATCGCGAAAGGCATGCGCTGCATCTGAGAGACCCATTCCGTTCTCGGGGCGTTCTCACCCAACTGACGCTGCCTCTTCTTTGTGCTGCCATCCGTCACATTATCAATGAAAACAGCCTTGGTTTGGAAGCTTACTTGCAAAGCCTTACGTTGCCTCTAGCCTAGACGGGTCAGGCTCCAAGTTTATCTGGATAATTCTCGGGGACTGAATGGTTTGGGAAGAAAATTAATCTTTGTCCTTGACGCCCTTGAGGCTCAACCTCTTCTTGTTTCGCAGAATTCATTGAGTTAAGCTGGCAACCACATGCAGGGCATATAGACTATTGGGCCTGACCTCTCAAATCCACACCCCTTTACCAACGCAAAACCATTGAAATCCAAGGGCAAGTGGGGATGAAATTGGGGAGGCCCAAGGATGATGAGATCAGGCCACCTGGTTTCTATCCTAAATAATGTGTGAGATTGCGCTGTTTGCTTGGGTGCTCATTGCTTGCTGGGAACTCGTTGCTCAGCCTGCCCAGATTCTAGACCTTGAGCCCTGAGCCTGAGGCCAGGCCACTTGGAATTTTCCCAGATATTTCCAGATATAGTCCCCCTTAAGTAGATAGAATATGGCTTTGAGTATACTATAATGAGAACCCCATATACCCCATGTTCTACTTAAGGGGACTATAATCTCCTGACTGCTGCTAGTCATGTTGATGCCACTCTCTGGAACCTACCTACACACACCAGCATCGCCGGCGTCAGGAGCATGGGCAAGCCACCTAGGAGTTTCTGCCAGGAGCTTCCTGCTTTTCCCGTACAACCACATCAGGTTAAAATCCCAGCGCCTGACCCCTCTACAAACACTACCCTTCTTGACAACCTCAGCAGTCAGAACACCACCAAGACCTCTTGGATAAAAACTAGGACGCATGCCAACCAACTTATGGGACAAAAGCCAAGGATGGAAATAAGAACACCGGCTTGACCCTCGCATCCTCAGCCACCCATAGGCAATCCCTATTTAACAACAGCTCAAACGTGAGTCTTCACGTGTGTCCAAGGCTCCATGATCAAATTGAAAATGCCAATTGTCACCTGGTGATGCAGATCAGGCTGCGCATGTGCGATACTCCTCCAACTATGGAGATGCAGACAGGCCACGAAAAGAAAGAGCAGCATGTATGCGAACCTGCGATCTGCGCTATTGCTGCTTCATGATGCATTTAAAGAAGCAACAAGGGAGGAATTAACCGAAAGCCACAGAAGCCGTCTTAGTGCCCATATTACGGCTTCTGTTTCTTTTCGACCTTCTTGCTGATTGCTGCTCCAGATGCTCAAGGCAAGGAATGCAGCCCCGCTTTGTTCACCATGAGTGGAGGCAAGCTTTGAATTGGACCGCTGGTTATGCTTGTACGAACAACAGAATTGAAAGCTTAGCTTCTGACTGCAACTTGTGGACTGCACGACTCTCCTGCCCTGAAGTCAGAGGTCTGGTTCCACACCGAATTAACTTGCGCAAACAAAGAGACCTATACACCAAACAGAAATTGATCTCAAGGCTAAAGTTCGGCAAGAACCCCAGACTTCTAGCCAGGACGCATGAAGATCCCACCGTGCCGATGTCTTAGCCTCTCTTGCAGTGGTGTTCCATCGTAGGCCGCACATCCGTCGGTAAAGCACCGAAAGGTTGTAAACATTGCGGCTGGAACAGTTTCGAACCTTGGCTGTTTCAAGTACCATGGAAATCAAGCAGTGCAATGGAATCACCTGGAGCTTTGTTTCGCAACAACTCGGTCTCCACAGGCTATAGTGGAAGCCAACAGATGTTGCGGCACTCTCTCTGTGCCATGTCACCAAACAATCAAGACTTCTCCGAGCAGCTCAGGCAAGTTGGAAAAAAGAGTCCTGCAAGCATGCGTCTGTCAAAGACTTCACCTGAAATGGCCTCACGCCAAAGTTGCAGAAGGTGCATCACTCACAGCTGTCCGAGATATGACGCCCAGCAAGTAGATGCTGAAAAAGAGTAGAACGACAGCCCAGAACAGCACACGCAGGCCGGTGAACACCTCGGCGAAACTTCTGGAAGAACCCAAGTTCTTGGCATCAGTCACGAACCATCAAACGCTGCTGCACCGGGAGTACAGCAGTTCTAGCTCTTGCACAGTCTCACTGCTGCACAGGCTAGTCATGCTCAGGCTTCGGCTCCCTGAATCATCAACTTCAGCTCCTCCGATCTGTTCCCAACAGTCGGCTGTTGAAGGCTCAGCGATGCCATTCGGCATTTATGCAAGTTTACATGGAGGCGTGCAGACGGACAGACTGCTTGCAAGCCAATGCACATCAAGCTCGACAAGCCATCCATAAAGCTTTCAATTCCAGCCCCAAGCTCGCTCGTCCTGGAAGATCTTGAACTTCAGCAACCGAACAATCCGGCCCAAGCGGGCCAGCTTCAGCATCTTCAGCAATCCAAAGTCAAAGCCAGTGCCAGAAGCTGATTCACCTCGCAGAGGCGCAGGACAAAACCTTCGCAAGCAAGCTGACCAGAGACAGGCCTGCGTCGTTATCTGAAGGGGGAGCCTCAAGAAAGGGAAAAACACACAAGACACTCTGGACGCAAGCCTTTGGGCTGAGGTCGCGGCCGTGCTGGAGCTGCTGGAGTACGTGAGGCTGATATCAACAACAGCCAATATGACCTGCCGGAAACTAGAAAAAGAGGCTGGAAAACAATGCGCCCATGTGACCAGGTGCTCAAAGGCATTCACAGCTTCATGCGCATACCACCCACACTCTCGTGATAGGAGCTACAAACAGCCTGCAGCATTGCAGGAAGTATCCTATTGTGCAAGCAGACCCAGGAATAAGATGGTCGAAGGCATAATGGCTGGCAAGAAGCACAAATTATGTCGAACCAGCTCCAGTACCTGAGACAAACAAAAAAATCCGTTCAAAAAAACCTTAGGCCTGAAGGATTGCCTTTTGGTCCACAGCGCAGCGCGTCACCATGCATAATCCGGCTATGTTCCGTTTGTCCAGCTTCTACGGCTTCAAATTTCACCCGCAGTCAAGGCCCTGGCCAATCAGCGCCACGCAGAAATTCCCTAAAGCCAAACACCTTCAGCTTCACCATGATCTCCTCAGCGTGCATGAGCCCAATACCATAAGCCAACGGTCTTAAGGCTTTTGGTGCAGCTTCGCATCCAGCTTCCGGCTGCTGATGGTTGGGAAAAGGCGTAACATAGCATTGGGTTAAAAAGCGGTCTTTCAAGTCTCAATGCGATAACTCACTACGCAGTCCATGATTCAAGTTCCAAGAACTTCCCTTGTTGTAAGCATGCCGGACAACAGCGTAGGGCCAAGCCCAGGACGTGACACTCCTTGCGACCTGGGAGCGCCAATGAAAAACACAGTGAAGCAGATTTCCAAGACCTCAGGCAACATGCGTCAACGCTCACGAGGACATCAAAAACATTCCTGCGCGCCTTCCATACGGGGTGCTCCGACTCGATGTCTGCGCTCAGGCCAGCAACAGCAGCACTCAGCACGATGACAAACGACGGAATGACATCCAGAAGGAGGAGAAGAGTGGGATTGTCCTCTTGCACAGCGGTTGGTGTCTCGTTCAGAACCTAAATCCAAGCAATGACGGCCACAGTGCTCACGGCCTTGCTAGGTATCGCTTCAGTGCGCTTGCTCAACAGTGTCCTCTGACGCATCCTCGTCCATCGGAACTTTGTTCATATTTCCGGTATTCCTTAATGAGAAAAAGCAAGCTTTCCACAGCACAGTTCTAAGCTAGCAGATCTAAAAAGTGCTGTTCTCAGTGAACGGCGGCAACGCTTGACTATACGCTTGACTTGGTCGAAGGCTCTGCCTTTTCAGCTTGCTCGGACCACCCTTGAGACCACCACTGCTTATTCGCCGAGGGCTGCCGTTTGGCACTTTGTCACCTGAGCTCATGCTTTGGATCCTGCCGAACAGAGCCGAACAGAGAAGCCTCTTGCGCCAGACACGGCTGCCATTGCAACAGTGGATTTTTTGTAGACGAAAACTAATACAACGCTGCACTGAACATGCGGGTAGGCTGCATCCCTCCTCCTTGAGAGAGCTTGGAATCCCTGAGATGCAAAAGGCACCGCGGACATGTGAGTAGCGTCTTTTTGGTGGTTGAACCTGGTATGATCGATATAAAGCACTATACCCCAGAGGGAGGACATGACCTTACTCTATATTGGGTATCATAATATTATTCACGGACATCAGTCGGTCATGGGAATCAAGCGCTGAGCACTTTGGCTCCTCAAATAGCGAATAATCTAGAATAGTTATAGTCGGGCGATAATGCTTGCAAGATCATCTATGATCTTTCGACATGCTTGGAGTTTATCAAGAAGGAAGTTTTTGGGATGGAGCGATGAATTTTGTCCGGTGACTGGACAAAGTTCAGCAAGACAGAGCAAGAAGAGCAGATGGGGATGTCGTCCGACCACTGAACGTCTGGGAGATGGGGTAAAGATTGGTGGTCAGAAGCCTCCAAGTGCCGCCCAATGGAGCGTGAAACTGAAAGGAAATACTTATGGAGACATAGAAATTGTCGCTTAGTAGACTTGGGAGGCGAGACCATCTTTCTGATGTCCTCAGCAGCCAATTGGGTCCAAAATGAGATGGGTTTGGCAGTGACCGATCTCACTGTTCGGTTATTGGTAAGTTTAAGAGCAGTTTTCTCCCATCTTGAGAGCCTGGATTTTTGTCTGCGTCGCCCAACCCAGAGAGGGCTAAGAAAGTCATCTCTAAGAAGGGGGTTTTCAAAAACGGGGAAAAGTGAAAGAAATTGTGGGACGTCAAGAAGATGATGCTTATATTGCATATTCTTGCTAATGGCTATTTGGGTTCGAAGCTCAGGGAACTTGACACAGGTGTTTCTCAAATCCCAGGGAAATGCGGCGAAGAAAGTGTCAGGGAAGATCCTTGCAGGTGGCATGCGAGGACACCAGTGGATCTCGGTGTCATCGTGAAATTTAACAGATTCAAATTCAGGATGTTCGGGCCATGCAGTCTGCAACATGGCACAGGATAGGTTTTTGAACTTCCAAATGACCGCTCCAAGATTCGGGCATCTGTGAACAAAGGACGCTATTTTGCCCCCTTGCTGCATGAAGATGAGGAAGGCAACGGTCCAGTTATGACAACTGACAGCTCCGGGGAATGATTGGCAGGACCACTTGGTCCAGAAAGAAAACAAGATGTTGTAATCACGCTGTGACGCACCCCATTTGTGCAAAGCCCATGTTGAATTAGGGGGCATCCATTCCAAATCAATCCAATTTGATTTGGGGGGAAAAGTCACAGGGGGCTGTGTTAACGGGGCGTATCGTTGGACGGCATCATGGGAAAGGTTTGGTCTGCATCGTTCCGCCTCTGCCTCGCGAAGAATTTCAAGGCCATGAGAGTCAGCAGTGATGCTGTGGCATAAATTATTGTTTCTTCGGAAAGCCATCCATGTTTCAAATAATCGCGCAACGTCAAGCTGTACAACATGCCAATGTTTACGAAGATGCTCAGGCATGG